AAAGCCTAAGCACAAAAAGATAAAGAGAAGGTAGAGCATTAGTTTCTTACTAGTGGTCCCAAGTCATCATACTTACCGCCACCTCCTGGTAGCTTATAGTTGACCTTTTCTTTAAAGAGGACATACTCTTCACCATGAAGGTCTTCCAGAACCTTGAGCAGACGAGGGCTTCGCACGTAAGAATTCATACCAGCATGATAGGGCGTAAAGTTTTCCGTTCGACAGAGCTGTTCTTGGTTCGTGGCCTTGTTTGTTTCATAGTACTGCATCCACTTCCCCTTTTCATGACTCCATTGTTTGAAATCGTCACAGTAATGTTGAAGTGTGGTGTGTTCATTAGGAGAGAAAAAGTCATCGATCAAGAGGAAGCCTTGGTCTTGATATGCCTTGGACTGTTCTGCTGTCAATACATAGGGTTGGCTGTTGGGTTGAGTATCCACCATTGTGAGTTTGTAAACAAGAAGGGAGACAAAGAGAAAGAGAAAACCCCAGAGTCCGACCTTTTTATATGCTCCTGAGAGTTACAATTTCAAACCCCGCTTCACAGATCGCAAATCAGGGTAAGATCCCCGGATCCCTTGACTTTATGTAAGAGCTTAAAACGTCGTTGTGTAAAAAAAGATACCAATTAGGGTTTTTAAAAGTGTACATCATATGGGTCTATGATGTTGTGAATGGTAAACTACCCCACGTGCTCGTAAAACCACACCGACTTGATTAACCTTCATATCTCGGCTAGTTCAGCATGCTTATCTGCTGACCTTTTATTGGTTAGTTCACCGTCAAATAAAGTTACTGCCGAGAGAACGGCAAGCCGAGTTTCCGGTGCTTCTTTCTTTTTCAGGCTATCACATACACCGATGCATCGTTGACTGTCTCCGAGTTTTGATTGAAGCGAGAATGGCGGACGAGAAAAAAAAAGTTTCCCCTTTTTTTTGTTTCAAATCCCGCCGTTTTGCTTTATCTTTTCTGGGTCTCCACTCTCTTTTTCTTTTTCCTTCTCTTCTCTTTCTTCAAATACTTTAACTTTTTATTAACTTTTCTTTTCCCTTACTTTTGATCTACAATGTCAGCTGACGATGCCTGTAACCAAATTGTCGACACCATCTTCAAGGTCCTGATAGATGGCAGCAAACGAGACTACATTGGTGAAAGGATCTCCCAACTTGAACATTGCTTACAAGCCGCTGCTCAAGCTTTGGATTCAGGTAATAAGAAAAACAAGAGATGGGAATGAAGGTGGCACCCAATTAACTGACACTCTCTTTTCCAAGGTGCCGATGAGGAGACGATCTTGGCGGCTCTTCTTCATGACATTGGCCAATTCACGACATCCCCAGATCAGAAGCAAATGATATGTGATGCCTCTGCTTTGAATGACTTGGATCCTGGAGCTGTCGATGGTGCCAAGCAAATTAGTGTCGGTGTCACTGGCCATGAACGCATCGGTGCTGTCTATCTACGCCAACTAGGCTTCTCAGAAAAGGTTGCTGCTCTGGTGGAATCACATGTCCCTGTAAAGCGATACCTGACTGCAAAGTATCCTGATTACTATGATGGTCTTAGTGGGGCTAGCAAACTGTCACTCAAATATCAAGTAAGTTGGATCAAGCTATTCAAATAGAAGAAGGCGGGATTGACTCTGTATCTTTCTTAATAGGGTGGTCCATACACTCAGGAACAAGTAGAGCTGTTTGAAAAGGATCCTTTGTATGCAATCAAGGTGCAGATCCGACAATGGGACGATGCTGCCAAAGTGGTGGATCTCAAGGTGCCTGACTTGGAATACTATCGCCCTATTGCCATCAGGCATCTTTTGGAACAAAAAGGCCGAGTCACTGTTTAGTATTAGTTATAACTTATCTGTCTTGTATCATAAATAAAATGTAACGTTGACCTAGTTGATAAACTTGCTGTGTTGATCCGACTCTTTTGCATGAATGTCGGAGCTGGAGTGCTATACTATAGATTCCATGATGATTTGTACGGTATAGGCTAGATGGACGGTCGTATGTTACCGGTTGGATAATGGGGTGTGTGCTAGTGGCTGTGACTCAAACACCAATGGACAACAAAGGTGTCTTTTAAAGGTGGATCTTACCAGCAGGGGCATCGGCGCAAGGACAAGATGAAGGACTTGGCGCACAGGTGTTTTGCAGACCCCACTGGGTTTCAACCCCCGCTTTTGGCTACAAAGATTCTCTTTTTCCGACAATCCTTTTTCTTTCCTTCTTTGCTTCTTCATCACTTTTATTTTTCCATTGCCAAAGACACCGCACGACAAACAAGTCGCTCTTTATACAACAACCATAAACAACGAACGCATGGTAACCCTCTCTTTTTCAGCATACTGTCTACCTCTCTCTTACATTGCTAACATTAACATCTTCCATCAGTACTCTTCTTCTTCTTAGCAAATCGAATGAGATGGCAACGGATATAGGCTCTCCGGCATCAGGACTGGATGGACATGTGGTTGGATTAGGGCTTGAACGCAAGGGATTACGAAAAACTTGGAAGCCTCATATTTTGTAGAGATGCACTCACTTTTTCCTTCGTAGATTCTGTAAAAATTGCACTATTAAACATTTTACTTGGCTCACTCTCTTTGGAAGCTACCAGAGGCACCCTTTGGCACCACTGACCAGCTCTCCCCTTCTTCATTCCGTAGCTCATTACACTAGATTAGTAATTCCATGGCAAGTCTTCAAAGTAGCTTAACCATAGTCTCAATCAGTTAATAAAACCTACTTGAAACCATCTCCAAGACTTTACTCTTTTGAATATGCATCAGTCATCTTGGCGTGTACCGGTGCGCAAAGTCTTGACCGATTGCAAACTGAAAGATGGCGGGGTGTGCAATAGAGTGGCGGCGTTTGAACATATTTGACTTTTTTAGAAACTTTTCGATTTCAGTTGTAAATTTTTGTGTTGAGTTACCTTGGCTTTCATAACCGAATCGATAACCCATCTTCAAACTCTATATGGAGCAAGATAAACTGCATATCTATCGAAAGACACCAAATTTGAAGTATATCTGTCCTGTATGCTTCTCTGAGCTATCTATTAAGCACCAAAGCAGCGACTGATCCCAGTGACCCCAATGTCGGTAATTCATCCCCTTGCACCAAACGTCCCTGGCATCATTCGGTAGATACGAAGCACTTCTTTCTTCATGTTTTAAACTGGAAATGAGGTTTGTCATCTCTTTCATGAGAAAATTCATGTCCAACAAAAAGGGACACTTTTCATGGGGGATGATGATCCGTCCTTTTTCCGAGGCCAGTTTTTTTTTTCAGACTTGCATTTGCATATCCCACAACTGGCGCACTGAGGCCTCTCTTTTTCCTGTCGTGAAGACCAACTATAAAGCGGAGGTTGAAGTTTTGGCGGACCTTTTTGGGTATGACAACTTGCTCTCCTGGGCCCAATAAAGTTTTTTTGCGTGCTTTTGCCGTCTTTTCTTTACTTCACCAACTACCGACTTTGACAACTTTGACTCTTTACCAACTTTGACTCTTTACCAACTTTGACTCTTTACCAACTTTGACTCTTTACCAACTTTGACGCTTTACCAACTTTGACGCTTTTTCATATCTTTTATCACATATTTAACACAGTCTGAAGATTTAGTATAAATAGCCCCCTTTCTGTCCCCTTCTCCCACTTTTTTTTGAATCAGTAAATAAAAAGCTTTTTTAAGCCCAACCAAGTCTTACTCACTGAAAGTCATAGAACTTCTTTTATCTTTTGTGTTATAAATACACCTCTTTGCTGTTGGAAACTACCAAACAAGCATCTTTACTGTTGAATCAAGACGATCAACATCTTTTATCACTTGGTTTCTACTGCTAAAAGCATAGGAACACTCTTTGGAGACTTTTTACCGGTTGCTATACGCCAATCGAGTCCTTCGTACAACACTTGTACCTCTTTTAAATCCCGGTTTGGATTTCAAATCCCGACTTTTTCAAGTCTCTCTCACTTTACTTTTTTTTCTCCATTGACATTACAAAAGGTTGAACTTAACCCACAAAAGTTCTGGTGCTCACTTACAAAACATAACCTTAACAACTTCTACACCACTCAGTTACCTATAACCAACCAAAAATAGCCGTAACATTCCTTTTCCCCACTCCAAACACACTCTCACGACACCCGTATACGAACCAAAAAATAAGATGCATATTGTTACAGCCACCACTTGGGATTCACCACCCGATTCTTCTGATGCGGCGTTTAAAACCAACGACCGCTCTTTCTTGATCTGTCCTTCGGGCCAACAAATGGTTTCGTTGTTCCATTCAACTGTCTTGTCTTGTCTATCTTGTCTATTCTGTTTTCGTGTGCTACTTTTGTTTTCGTATGACTATACCGTTTTCGTGGGACGTCATTTTATCACTACTCTCGTCTATTTTAGTTTTCGTGGGACGTTTTAGTAGTTGTGTCCCGACCATTGATGAAATAGTATAAATACCCCCTCTTCCCCCACCTTTTCACTTTTTTCTTCAGTCAAGCTTAGTCAAGTTTAGTTAAGTTATAACAAATAAAGTCTTTACAAAACCCAAAAGGCCCCTTTTCAAGCTTACTCACTGAAAGTCATAGCACTTCTTTTATCTTGTGTTACAAATACACCCCTTGCTGTTGGAAATTGCCAAACAAGCATCTTTATCGTTGAATCAAGAAGATCAACGTCTATTACCACTTGGTTTCTATTGCAAAAAGCATAGAAACACTCTTTACAGATCGCTCTTTAGCCGATCCAAACTTTACGAAACTCGTACCTTTTTTCAAATCCCAACTTTTTCAAGTCTCTCTCTTTTTCTTTTTCTCTCCATTGACATTACTAAAGGTTGAACTTTGACCATAAAAGTTCTGGTGCTCACTCATATAAACACACAAAAGCAACAAAAACACAACCCAGTTACCTATAACCACTCAAAAATAGCCGTAACAATATTAAAACTCCGTTCTAATTCGCTCAAAGACAAAAAGTTGTGTGCCACCTAACGGAATCGAACCATTGGCCTTTCGCTTACAAGGCGAACGCTCTGCCAACTGAGCTAAGGTGGCTTCAACTGAAAATTTTTTTTTGAACAAGTATATAAAGCATATTGACTAGCGGAGTTTGAAAATTTCAAAAATTGGCAAGAAAAGCTCTGTTTTCGCTCATAAAGACCATAGAACTGGTCATATCAATGTCATACACTACCAAAAATAGGTCAGCAGCTTTTTTAGTATGTATGATTGGCATGATTTAAAGGAAAAGAGAAGGAATGGCGGGAGTGAACAGTCGGGCAAGTCCAAACGGGAGACACAGAAAAACAAATTCGGCGGAGTTTGAAAACACATTCAGTAAGGTAAGCAGACTTTTTTTTTTCCGTCTCTCTCTTTCACTTTCTTTTACATGCCTCTTCTTTGCCTCTTCATCACTTTTTTTTTCTTTCCATCGACATTGGCACCGAATTACGAACGACTCGATTTCCATACAACGACCTTGAACGACGAATGCAGGGTAACTCCCCCCTCTCACCATCTTGCTCACCTCTCTCTTACATTGCTAACATTAACATCTTTCGCCATTACCCTTCTTTTTCTTAGCAGATGGAATGTGATGACAACGGATATAAACTCTCTGGTAGCAGGACTGGATGGACATGTGGTTAGATAAGGGATTGGACGCAACGGATTACGGCAAACTTGGGGACAAACTTGCAATTCTTTTTTATAGGTGCACTCACTTTTTCCATTGTAGATTCTGTAGCCATCGCACTGCTAAGCAACACTACTCGTTTGCCTACTCCCCTTTTTGACTGCCACTGACTCTTTTGGTACCGCTGGCCAGCTCTAAACGTCTTCACTCCTTGGTCATTTACACTAGATCAGATATATCATGGCTTGCTCCACAGATGCCCAACCCATCCAAACATATAGCTTAGTCATAGTTTTGCGTATCTAAATGAATAAAACTCACTTTGAAGCATATCTCTTACTTTATACTTGTTCGCATGAGCCTCCACAATTGGATTAGGTAGATAATTGGAGGGTGTGCAGAAGTGGGTGCGTCCCTAACTGAAATGGTTGTCGAAAAGGTAGAGTTGTAAATTGTGATACAAAGGGTTATGATCTATAGTTGATTCAAAGTGTGAGCTTTCTTGTATCTGATGCTACATATAATACGTAATGAAGTATTATGATGAAGTAATATCAAAGGAAAGTGAACTTGGTGTGATAGTATCTGTGAGGCGAGAAAGCGGAGTTTAAACATGCATGAATGAGTCTTATGGGTCTTGGTTCAGCACAAATATGACAGAATGAAAGCCCTGATTGGCTACATACCGAGAGAGACAAAGTTAAAAGTATCAATTTTCATTTATTTAAGGATATAGATAGATAAGGTAGCTAACAGTAACACTATAACTACATCCATCTAGCGAGTATTGTTGAGAGTGGCGGTAGTAGCGACGAGCTTTTGACTGATGGGGTCGACCTTTTTGTTGAGTTTACCAAGATGCTTATTCTGACTATCCAATTCATCATTCATGGTCATGGCCATGTTTTTCAAACGAGCAGTGGCACCGCCCAACAGATCCAGATTCGAGTCGATTTCATCCTCCACCGCATCATCTTCTTCATCGGCTTCGAATTGGTAGCGACGGCGATCGGCTTCGGAGCGACCACGGCGATATCCTGCATTTGAAGAGACCCTATCGTTGCGTCTGTTGGCTTGATCAATACGAGCGTTGGATTCATGTTCGAATTGGCGAATGTTGTCCCGTTCATCCATGTGTTCGGCTTGGTCGGCTTGAAGGCGTTCGATATCACGGCGTTGACGGGCGCTCTTGTTAAAGGGGTTCTTGACCACAGGAATAAAGATCGATCGGTTGAGTTGCTTGAGTTCATCCGCTTGTGAAGACGCCCGGTCAGAATGTGCTTTGGCTAAATCAATGTTGCGATTGACATTGGCGATTTGAGCTACAGAGGGTAAAAAAGATATCCCATTAGAAAAGATCACTTCATATATGTATATCTATTAACAGTTGTAAGCTTACTTGATTGGGTGCCAAGCTGGTTCATCGATTGGGAAGCACTTTGCTCAGCTTCACTGATCTTTTGGAGAGCGTTGCGGGTGCTTTGAAGTGATTCTTGCTTGATGTCTCGGATTTGTTTCTTGAGTCCAACCACTTCTTGATCTTCGCCGCCTTCTTCGTCACCATACCGGTTTCTAGCGCTTCGTCCATACGCATCCTCTTGACCTTGAGAGTCATATTGTTGCTGCTGTTGTTGTTGAGGGCGAGGAGACGCAAAGAGATCATCACGGTTCTGTTCATGCTGCTTGTTGCCATAACGGCCAGTGCTGTTGCTGCTGTAGTCGCCGGCATTGCTGTTATTGTATCGACTGCCACCGCCATTACTGTATTGCTGATTGCTGTTGTTAGAGTATAAAGATGAGGAAGATGAAGGTTGTTCAGAAGGTTGGTCGAAGGGGTTGGTGGAAGTGGTTGATGATGGAGAGTCCTTGTTGCTATCCTTGTCCTTCTTTTTCCAAAACATAATGATAGAGATTGATTGAGTGTGTGTTGGAGATGAAAGAAAGAAGACGAGAAGAATCAAAAAGTCCTCGAATCCATCAATTTTTCATTTTTGAAACTCAGCCAATTACAGAGTTAAATTTAGAATTTGAGCCCCCTTCCTTTTTCTCCTTCCCTTCCCTTCCCTTTCCTTTTCTTTTCTCTTGTCCAGACGCTCACACTCCAAATATGGCCAACACAACATACTCTCTGCACAATGGCAAAGCCTTACCCGCACTGGGCTGTAAGTCAGACAACTGTGTCACCCTTCGACTCATGCATACAATGAAACTCATCTTGTCTCAAAGTGGGAACATATAGAATGAAGACAGTGGAGGAGCTAAGGCCGGTAGTCACTCAAGCGATTCGTTCTGGTTATCGGTTAATAGGTAAACTGCACCAATCTACCCACTTTATGCATCTAGCTAATTTGTTTATCCTAGATACTGCCACCGTCTACAAGAACGAAACTGCCTTGGGATCTATCTTGAAAGAGATCTTTGCTGATCCTTCTTTCGGCATTCAACGTGGCGATCTCTTCATCACCTCGAAACTGTGTAAGTAACGAATCCTTTGTTTGTATGCCAAAAGCCTCATGCTCTCTTCTTTTTAAAGCACCGCAACACCAAGGGTACGAAAAGTGCTATCAAGGTAGGCTCAACATTTTTGAAGAAAGCCCACGTTTAACCCTCACGTCTTTTCTCTGCAGCCGTCCTAGATTCTTTAGACAGGTTGGGACTAGACTACCTGGATCTCTACTTGATCCATTGGCCCGGGTAAACCAGCACAACACTATCCTTATTCTAGATACTGACATCCCCCCCCCTTTTTGTTTAGAACGTCAAAAACCAAGCTCTCGGATCCAGTCAACCAGCATAATCGTACCGAAAGCTATCGGGCCCTAGAAACACTCTACAACAATGGCAAGGTCAAGCAGATTGGAATCTCCAACTACACCCCAGCTCATCTCCGCCATCTCCTGGCCCACGCCACCATCACGCCCCATGTCCACCAGTTCGAACTACACCCTTGCCTCCACCAGCCTGAACTCATCGATCTCTGTCATTCTCACGGCATCCAAATCCAGGCCTACTCAAGTCTAGGCGAAGGCAAACTAATCGACGGCACTGTGTGTGTCACCGGGCTGGACGACATCGCTGCCAGGTCAAGGTCCACCCCACCTCTCGTGCTGCTACGCTGGGCTTTGCAACATCACTTTGCCGTCATTCCGAAATCAACCTCGCCCCATCGTGTACAAGAAAATGCTGGTGTTTGGAATATCGACTTGTCGAAAAAGGTAAGGAGTAGATTTCTGTTTGTGAACTGGACGACTGATGACGATTGATTATAGGACATGGATCAGCTGGATAGTGTATATAAAACGCAAACACATCGGTTCTGCTGGGATTCTACCGAAATCTACTAGTTTAGAAGAGTGTATATAGATTATGACCTGAATAAATAAAGGGATAGTGTGTTTTAGATGTCTTCTGGTGGTGTGGCGATATTTGTGCTGATTGGAATCATGCAGATGGGAGTGTACTTCAAACTCCGACAAAAGTCTTTTTTTTTGGGGGGGCTGCTACAGACAGAACCACTGGGACAGAACCAATCTGTGTATGCTGAATTTTGCGGACAATAAGGACTGATTTGGCGAGGGACTCAATTCGAAATGAAGATAAAACTGCCCCGTCAGGCACAGGAATAATCTTGCTCTTCTCATTGGGAATCGATCGGTAAGGCCCTCTCTTCTCCTGGTATCAGGTCCAACAAAAAGACACATATCAATTGCGGCTAATCAGCTCGTATGACGGGTAACATGTGTGCGAACGTGGATCAAATACGACGCCATGGCCGATGGAACAACACAACGATGAACGGCGCATATCTCACCAACCTTCCAAGAGAATTGGTGCGATCAATGGCATGCTTCCCCACATGGGGTCGATTCTTTTATCTTGCACGTGCCGCCCTTAACCCACCTACCAAACTCTGCAAGAAGTTGTTCCCGGCGATCGGCGAATGACATGACCGACTGGCGGCGAAAGAACTCAGTCCTGGCAATCCTATTCAGCCTACCGTCACTGAAAATGCATTTGTACAGGTGATCATGATGTTCAGGAAGACTTTTATACAAAACTCGGTGCTTATGACGGAGCTCCACCCCTGCTATCCCATTTGGCAACATTCAATTTTCTATGATCCAGCCTATTTGTCATTCAAAAGGTAAGTCCACATCATAGCATGAAAATGTAGTAGCATACTCGCTCTGATATGTTAGGGATATGCTGCAAATTGAAGCTAAGGAACACGATCCTGCCCACACACTCTTCCAACAATGTGCGCCTATGCACTCTAGATTTCAAACCCCGATTGACTATAAGATCATTTTTTCGCCCGTCCTATTATTTTGCTCCTTCTTCCCCTCGTCATTACTTTTTTGCCTCCATTGTCATTCTCTTTACTCCACGACGCCAAACGAACGAACGAACGAGCAAACGA